CATACCACTGAATAGAGCTGGAGAAAATCACGAAACCATCCTGACTGGGATTCCTATAAATTTATGTTGCATGACCTCAACCAAGTCCTCATCATGGCAAGGCAATCCTTTAACACCTCCCTAATCCATTCCTGACCCCACTCACTTCAGCTGCTTTTCCAAAGTCTTTCATTCTTCCTCAAACCTCTCATGACTTCCCCTCACCCTCTCAGCTAAGGACTCAAACTTCATCCCCTGAAATGAGGGTGTTTGCTGAAAGCTCCTTCTTTCCTCCTCCTCTTCAACTCACATTACTCAGATACCTTCTGGCACTATGTCCTCCTTAAATCCTGTCTCAAGAGTGGCCCTTCGCTTTGCTAAAGCAAACCCCTCTATTCTACACCCTTTATGCCATCCCATCTTACTTCTAGAGCAGACAGACTCTTCTATCAGTCCCATTCTCTCACTAATTTTCAGTCTCTTTGTCTACTGGATGTTTCCCTACTGCCTACAAACATGCCCATATCACCACCATCTTTTAAAAAATCCTTATTTGATTTGTCCTTCTCTGCTAACTATGGTCTTCTATCTCTCTTCCTCTTCCCTAGGTGCCTCTATCTTCTCTCCTCGCTTAATTCTAAACCCTTTGCAATCAGGCCTCCAGCCTCATCATTCAACTAAAACCACCATCTCCAAAGTTACTCATGATCTCTTAATTGCCAGGTCTTCTGGCCTTTTCTTAATCCTGATACTTTTTGACTTCTCTGCATCTTTGGACACTGTGGGTCACCCCCTTTTCTTTGGATACTCTCCCCTTAGGTTTTCATGATACTCTTGGGTTTCTCCTCCCAACCGTCTAACTGCTCCTTCTCAGTCTTCTTTGATGTATTTTTAATCTAGGTCATGCCCATCAAACATAGTTACCTTCCAAGGCTCTGTCTTGGGAACGCTTCTTGCTACAGTCTCACTCAGTGATCATGTTATCAGCCTCACTCATCAAAGATGAATCTCAGACTTATGTATCCAGTCCCAACTTTTCTCTTAAGCTCCAGCTTTGCTTCACTGAGGGCTTCCTGGTCATCTCAAATTGGATTCATCTCAAACTCAGCATAACCATAATAGAACTTTTTATCTTTCCCCCAAGCTCTCCTGTATCCCCAACTTCCCTATTGCTATGGAGGACACGCCTCCCTCCCACTCACCCAAGATCTCAACTATGGGTCCTCTTTGGCTCCTCCTTCTAACCACTCCTATCTAATCTTTGACCAACTGTCATCATTTCTTCCCTCACCACATTTGTCACATGCCTGCCTTCCTTTCTCTCTGCCTACTCTGCTGCAACCTAGCTTAGGGCTCTTTCATCAGTTGACACTTAGACTATGCAATAGCTGTTGTTTGGATTCTGCCTCAAGGTTCTCTCTGCTCTAGTCTGTCCTCCACTCAGCTGTAGAAGTGATCTTCCTAAAGCACAAATCAGACCATGTCGCCACCACATGCATTCCCATTGAATAAATGTCAATGACTCCCTGTCATGTCCAGGATCAAATACAAAAATCCTTTGTTTGGCATTCAAAGCCCATCAGAACCTGGTCCCATCCTCCCTTCCCAGTCTTCTTATACATTCCTCCCCTCTAACTATATTGCCATCTAGTGACAATGGCATCCTTACTTCTCCTTGAACAAGATCCTTCATCTCCCAACTCTGAGTACTTTTATTGACTGTCCCCCATGCCTGGAATTCCCTGTCTCCTCACCTTTACCTCCTGGCTTCCCTGAATTCCATCAAGTCTCAGTCAAAGATTCACCTTCTTCAAAAAGCCTTTTCCTGATCCCTCTTACTGCCGGTGCCTTCCTTCAGCTGATTTATTTCCATTTTTATCCTGTATCTATCTTGTCTGCATATAATTGTTTGCATGTTGTCTCTCCCCTTAGAGTGTGAGCTTCTTGAGGGCGGAGACTGTCTTTTACCTTTCTTTGCTTAGCACAATGCCTGGCACACAGTAGGTACTTAATAAATGCTCATTGACCATCCATTTCAACTCCAGACCTATGATCCTGGGTTCCTACAATGTTCCTTCCACGCCTAAAGAACACAGCCTCTCCCCACATCAGTAGGTGAGCAAGCAAAACAGCTGCAGCCAGCTTTCTTGAGATGAGTCTTGGCTCATCAAGGAGCTTGACTGCTCCTTGGACTACAGACACTGACTCTCCCTAGACCAGTTTATGCAATATTCCACACGCAAAGCCTCCGCTCCTGCCCAAAAGTGAAGGATGGGGTTGTCTCCTCCTTCCTCCAGTACCAGGTTTGGTTCTTATAATTACACTTTCATCAAACCCATGTTTTCTGCGACTTGTTCTTTCCGATTTATTATAGCACAAATGGCCAATTTCTGCTTCAAAGTAAACCCAGTTTGATAGAGAAGGTGACTCAGAAGATCGGAAAGAGCTCTAGGCCAAGTCAGAAAGCTCTAGGTATGAATTTCAGCTCTATTTTCTGTGGGAACTGGACAAGGCACAATCTCTCTGTGCCTCAGTTTCCTCGTTTGAACAATGGTTGAAGGGAGGAGAGATTGGACTCCAACATCCCTTCAAGCTCTGTCATTCTATGATTCAATGATGGCTAGAAAACCAATCAAAAGGACACTTCCAGCAAAACCCTAATCTTTCTAGATTATGTCAGATAAATGTTCACTTACTCTGGAAACCTTCCATTTACCTTAAACCAACCAAGCACATGCCTCATTGTTTTGCTTTTAATTCTTTAGAGACAGTCAGTGATAGAAGAATCTGATAAAGAGTTTATACTTTTTACCACTATTTCTTAAAACCATTCTAAAACTAAGAGCCTGTGGGAAATGATTCGGTTTGGGGAGGTTCAGGGACCTTTCAAGTACTGGATAGGATCATCTGGAATGAATTCACAGACTCAAGCAGTCTTCCAGTCAGGTGGCAAAATGTTTACTATAACGCTAATATGGCAGGCAGAGATCCTTAAGGGATTCTGCCAAGGGGGGCAGAGCTCCTTAGGGAACTTGCAACCTAACAGGAGTGATGCTAAAGCTTATATAGGAAAAGTAGTAGATTATGTGCCAAGTATGCTAATTAGGTGATAATATACAACCTTGGTCATAGACATCATTCACTACTGGAAACCATTGAGGTGGTTTCTTAAGGAGTGTAGGGATGTATTTTTGGTCTGTTATGTCTGTAACAAGATAGCTTCTGGAGTTGATGTCTATAACTTGACCTCTGAATCACATACAATAACTGTGGGAATCAGTACGTGATAGTTTTGTTGATACAAGATAGCCTCATTCATACGAGGGCTATTCTACAGAGGTCAGCTTGTTCTTGTAACAGGGAGAGATAGTGAGATAGTACGCCTCACTGGGGCCCACTCATGAGTTATTGCCAGAGATAGGGTCTTTGGGCGGGGGGGAAAACTGTCAGGGGTAATGTTTTCTGGCTAGGGAGAAATGATCTTGGAAGTGGGGCCCAAATACAAGCACCCCATCAGTAAAGACATTCCTAGGGCCCAGGGCTTTGGTGGACCCAGACATGCTGCAGTGTCTGGAAGCTGGATTGGGCCTCAGGGAGATGTGCAGCTGGCCAGAAGGGACTAGTGCTAAAAACAACATGGCCCTAGGCACATATGCACATAACCCCCACCCACTACTACTGAGGCAAAGTCAGTCAAGCATTTATTTATCACTTACTGTGTGCCAGGTACTATGCTAAGCAGTGAGGATACAAAGAAAGGGAATAATCGTCCCTATTTTCCTTCTTTCTAATGGGGAAGACAAGAGGGATGCATACAACTACACATATACAAGATGCAGAGAGGATTGTACATCACAGCCTCAGAGTCAGAAGGAACTTCTGAGACCAGACGCTAGCCCATGGCTGAGCATGAACCATCTCTATAAGGCTGCAGGAGGGTCTCTGCTTGAAGCCCTCTAGCGATGGGGAGATCCTTCCCTCCCAAGGCAGCCCCATCCATTCTCAGCTGGTTCCCATTATCAGCTGGGCAGTTGTAAATGGTATCATACTCTCCATACTATGATTTGTTAGCCTGGCCACCCTGCACCAGTGCTACCTCGTAAGGCCAGAGTTCCCCTGGAGCCAACAGGCTCTGTCTGCAGCCCCAGTATAAACCCAAACCTACAAAACTCAGGACAAGAATTTGAACCAGCCTTGTTTCAGTGTTAAGAGAACAAGAAAATACTGAGAGTCTTGTGTTGGTTAATTCCTGGGAAGCTTATGTTTCCACCCTGTCTTGGACACATCCATTCCTAAGCCAGAAACCCTGTTAGCAGCACTCATGCTTCAGTTTAGTGGAGATGCTTTCCAGATAGATGGCCTGGCTGATCAGAAGGCCAATTTTTTAAGTATAAACATAACCCCGTGACTTGTACACTTTGCTAACATAGCTTTAACAGCTCTCCAACCCTATAGCCAAGAGTTAGACCTCAGCCTCTGATCATTGCACTGTGACTAAATACTATGGAGATAGCAGAGGAAGTCATGCATGGTTAAGGAATGGTTCATCGATTCCAGTATCTGGGTAAAGTTCAATTCAATTGCTGTGTACTGTACTTTCTTTGTCTAGCACAATACAGACCTGTTTTCTAATCCTCCCAGTTTAAACAACGAGAGAAAGCATTTCAGCAAATCTAAGTGGTTTAAATTTTGAAAATCTTACAGATGAATAATCTGTCACATCCCAACCCTTCAAAATGTCTGAGGCAAGAGCGCAATTTCTGTCCAAGGATGATGCTTCTGTGGAGAAGACCCAGAGCAGAGCACCGTTCAACCTCCAGCTTTGATGGGATTCTTTTTAAGTATATGTTCTATAGGATTTAATTGACAAGCCAAGGCAAGTTAAAATGTTTTAGAGGGCTAGCATCTGGATCATGCTTATCATCATCTTGGAACTACTTTTGACCCATGTATATTGCCACACCCACTTTAATCAGTCCACCCAGTCTAGCCACATCCATGAAATCTATTGGAAATTTTACCTTCAAAGGTTAGATCTGGCTGGCCCAGCCCTGAACTCAGCTCTTGGGTACTCTCACCATGGAACAATCCATAGGTGATGAGGACACTTCCATTGGAAAATCTGTTGTCGCTGAATTCAATCTTCCCAGTGACCCACTGCGGGGTGGCCAGAACAACACACACAGTTGCCAGTGCCCCGAGGCTGGTCACAAAGCCCGCCAAGAACATCCGAATCTTTTGGGTTGTCGGCATTTTGTCTGAAGGGAAGGAAGTTTCCCCAGCTGGAGGATCGTCTTTTCCAGCTCTTGGCCTTTATCCTCTGGAGCGCCCTGTGTTTCCAGGTGGCTGACTTAAGCTGAAAATGGAAAACCCAGCCCTTTAGGTAAGAACCGAGAGCAGTGAACTTTGTCCCATGAGCGCTGGTGATAAAGGGTTGATGTTACTGCACTTTGGTCCCCAGAAAGAGGTTGCCACAGCTACAAGCAGGCCATAGTAATGAAGGTAGGTGGGCCCTAGCTCCTACTTCCTCATGGCTGATTAATCTATTACTGCCTTGCCAGGTGCTACATAGTCAAGTTCATTCCCACCATTTGCAGCCAGGGAGGCGAGTTATGAAAATGAGTCAAGAAAGGACCAACCTGCAGAGAGCTCACAGGGCCCAGGGCAGCAGAGAAAGGATGTGGACTTCCCGGCGACTCTCAGATTCTGAGCGGGCTATTCTGGCCAAGGAGTTGCCCCTTCCAAAGGGTTTTACCCTTTCTGAAAAGAAACTCTGGGAAGGTGTGGTTGGATGCCAACATTCCCAGGCTTTGTGGGTGCTCCATCTACCATCTCAAAGTGTAATCGTCTGAGAGTTCATAGTTCGTGAGATCATAGGATCTTAGATGTAGGCCGGGAGGGGACTTTAAAGGCCATTCTGTTCAGTCATTTTATTTTACAGATGAAGAGATGAAGATCAGAGAGACCACAGGACCATGGACTTAGCACTGAAAGGGGGAAGGGGACGGAGAGAAGGAAGGAGGGGGGAAAGGAGGGGGAGAAGGAGGGGGACAGGCTAATTAAATCATAGGTCCAGTCAGGCATGAAGCATTTACTAAGTGCCCAGTAGGTGCCAGGCAATATTTCAGGCTCAGAATTTATATGAGCGTGCACAGAAATACACATCTGCCTTCAAGTCAACATAGACAGATACACAGTGGAAGCTGGTTTTCCACATTTTGCTATTTTGAGTAAACTCCCAAGCATTTCTGTTTATACACAGCCCAGTATGTACACAGTTTGACTATAATTAAAGATTGTTTTGGTAAAAAAGGCAACATTAAGATTTCCCTGACATTCCCGTACAGAGGCCTGTTCTATTTATTTATTTATTTATTTATTTTTGACCTGAATGCCCTTCTGAGTCTATTCATGCTTCAGGGCTCCTAGCCAAGCTATGAAATCCCAGCTCTGTTTCCTGCCAGGGAGTCTCAGTTGGTTACCCAAGTCCTTCATTTCTGGGTGGCACCTAGAGCCCCACCTCCACTGTAATGTCAGGCTTTTCTTTGCTGCTAGAGAAAACAGAGACCAAACTGCCAGGCCAAGACTAGTCAGTAATGCAACATGGCACCTATGGTAATGGGACCATCCCACAGTGAGCCTGTAGATTAAGGCCATGGTGAGAGACAAGAAAGTCAGCTTCATTTCTGCCAGGAACCTGGTGGAGTCTATGCAGTTCTTCCAGCAGACTGTGGGAGAAAGGAATGAAGGTTTCCAAGGAGGCAACCTTTGGAGAAAAGCTTTAATTTTCAACAGAGGAAGACTGTGTAGACTGTGAAGTAGGCTGAAGCCAGCCATGTGGGGAGCTAGTGTTAAACCATGGGTCTTCCAAGGGGATCTACATCATGGTTTAAGTTTTGAGGCATTGAAAGTAGGAACTGCATTTTTCTTACCTCTGAGGAAAACACACTATTGACATCATTTACCAGGGTAAATAAAGTAGGCATCAGCCTGTATGTTTGAAGAAAAGTGCCAATACATCACAAATAAAATGCCATGGAGCACTGCAGCATGTTGATTAAAGAACTCAATGATCTTGTTTCATTTTATTCCTTTCAAGGTGGTAGAATCAAAATCATTGAGCATTCATTCATTACTTTCAACAAAGATTTAAGCAATCATAGTGCATCAGACAGCTGATACATAGACAGGGGAAGTGGCCTGGGATACAGTGTAGGGATAAGATCTGGGCTTTACCTTCAGTTAGCATCAGCTAAACTATTATTGCAGTCCTCATCTCTGAAAAAAACTATCTTGGTTTAGAAGGCTGGAGAGGAACCTTGGTGGAGGAGAGAGCAAAGAAGCTGTGTTTGCATTAGGGAGGAAAGTCATTTGACAGATGAGGAAACAGGAAGAGAGGGAACCTCACTTACTGTCCCCATCACCCAGAACGGAAGGGGCAAAGATGGGCTTCAGATTCAGCTAATGAGGTTTCAGCAGAGCCATACATGCAACATACCCAAGTCTCAGAGTCGTTGGCTGACCTCAGTGACCTTCCAGTCCAGCCGATAAGTCCCTGACCCAGAATCTCTAGTCACCTGAACTTTACCTGAAGATGTCCAGAGAATGAGAATCCACCAACTCTGAGGCAACAGAGAGTGGAAAGGGAGGAAAAAGTGGGAACAAGCATTTATTAAATGCCTACTATGTGCTAGGTACTGCGTTAAGCACTTTACAAATATTTCATTTGCTTCTCGCAACTACCCTGGGAGGTAGGTGCTATTATCCCCATTTATATAGGACCTGAAGCAGACAAAGGCTGAGTAACTTACCCAGGGTCCCAAAGCTGGGAAGTGCCTGAGGCTAGATTTGAATTCAAGCCTTCCTGACTCCAGGACTACTGCTTTACACATTGCTGGGCCAACCTAGCTGCCAAGGGAGCTCATGCCACTTTTCAGGGCATACCTTTGGCTTCTAGAGCTCCTCATGGGGAAGCTGCACTCTGAGCCCAACCAGACCCCACCAGACTCCGTCAGCAGGGGGCTTTGCCCAAAGGTCAGCTGAAATAGCAGAGCTGGAATTTCCAAACAAGTTTTCAGCTTCCAAGTTTAGAGCTATTTCTGGGGTAAAGAGTAACATCTCCAGGTGGGAAGTGCACCTGCAACCATTTTTAAACAGACAAAATCTAGCTAAAATGACCCTCCAGGAAGTCTTGCTGCTCTTCTCCATCTCCAGACTCTGGACATTTGCCCTGGCTGTACCCCCTGCCTGGAATGCCCTCCCTCTTCATCTCCATCTCGTGGCTTCCTTCAAATTTCAACTAAAATCTTGCCTTCTACAGGGAACCTTTCCTAATCCCTCTAAATACCAATGCCTTCCTTCTGTGGGTTATCTCCAGTTTCTCCTGTATATAATTTATTTGTACATAATTAATTATGTGTGGCGTCCCACATTAGACTGGGAGTTCATTGAAAACAAAGACTATCTTTGTCTTTCTTTGTGTCCCCAAAGCTTAGCACAGTGCCTGCCACTTAGTAGGCACTTAATAAATGTTTGTCGACTTGATTTGATAGATATTAAAAAATCATGAAGGACAATAAATCCTCTGAATATGATTCCTGGTACTATATAGCTCACCAGCCCCCACTAACCATTGGGCTTTCCAGTTTGTATAGTTCTGTTTGTTAGGAAGTGCTTCTGTATCGCCATCATTTCTCCCCTATGTCCTCTCTTCTCCAGGATAAATTCCCAGTTCCTCCAACCTCATATGGCCAAACACTCCCTCCGTTGGCCTCCTCTATTGGTCCACCTCTAGACCTTCTCCAGATTATCAATATCCTTCCTGAAATGTGATGTCCAGCACTAAGCACCATCCTGGAGATAGGGTCTGATCAAGGCAGAGTACATCTGGATGGTCACCTCTGTAGTGGTGGGCACAACCCTTCTCAATCACCACAAGACCACGTTAGTTCTGTTGGCTGCCAAAGCACATTGCTGACTCCTGGTCAACTTGTGGCCTACTGGAATCTCCAGGTTCTCTTCAGACAAACTGGAGTGTGGCCAGGGATGTCCTATCTTGTACTTCCGAAGTTGACTTTTTTTTTAACCATAGTGCAAGATTCCATGTTCTCCCCTGTTACACTTCATGTTGCTCAAATTAGAAGCAGACTCTGTCATCCCCATGTGTTGGGTCTTCCTTCCCAGCTGACACCATCTGAAAAGTTGACCAGCCTCTGCCTTCATCCAAGTTTCTGGAATCCCCAGCCACATCAATTCTGATCGTCAGGCTTGCTCATAGGCATGGTTGTGAAACCTCAAGCTGGTTTGTAGCATGCAGCTGGTGGCCCAGTGGATAGAGCACTGGATCTGGAGTCAGGAAGAGTCCAGTTCTTGGAAGCCTGGGTTCAAATCTAGCCTCAGACACCTAATAGCTGTATGATCCTAGGCAGAAGACTCAACTCTCTTTACCTCAGTTTCCTCAACTGTAAAATGGTGCCTTCTCAGGGTTGTAAGAATCAAATGAGATTGAGTTTGGAAGGTAGTGAGCACATAGTAGGTACTTAATAAACGATTATTTCCTTCCTTCAATTTTACCTCCTCTTCTGCCTCTCCCCCCAAGAGAGCTCCTGGTCCTCACACATTTATCCACTCCCACGCCCCACTCCAGCAAAATTTGCTCTTAGGAAAGAATCTCATTTCACTTGTTTATGCCCCAGTAAGAATAAATGCCACTTGCCTCTGGAAGGTTAAATTCATTTGAAAGCTCTGCCTAGGGTCAGCAGTGAGCAGGTATAAAGGCCTTCCCCAGATCTCTTGGATCCTACTGGGCAGCTATTGTGTGTTGGGGGAGGAGGGAGGCCACCTACAATCACTGTGCTCAGATCTTTCCCTGCTCCTCCTTCTTTACATTCCAAGGGCATTGGACTTAGAAGACCCGAGATCCAGACTCAATTCTTCTGCTTACTAGCTGTGTGACTTTGGACAAGTCGTGCTACCTCTCTGAGATTTCTTACTTCAGTACTTCAAAATAACTGTGATATCTTTGGGTGAGAGAGTCCTCAACAGGCCTCTCGCTTCAACTACAAAAATCAGTTGGGGTGGACAGGATGATTGCCATGGTCACCGCCAAGGTCATTGACTCCTCCACTCCCTCTGTCTCTGCCAGTTAGCTACTTTGCACAATCCCCTTCCTGTGGAATCCATTAGTGTGGATAACGTTTTCTCTGGCAACTGTCTGCATGGCCGCTTGCTTGGTCAGTTCCAGAGTCTTTCTTCTTTATCAAGATCCCCTAAAAGGCAGATTTTCTCTCAGTATTCCTTTTCTTTCCTGATAGATAATGAGTTTGAAGGAGCCAGGAAAATGGTGGAGCCATGTCAGAGCAGGTTCTCACTCCTTCTAGGAAAGGG